GAAGGAAGGGGAAGTCCCTAAGGAAAAGAGAGATGGAAAAGAAAGACTAAAACCGCATCACAACGCTATCCCCAGGAACTGGGTTCCCTCTGTCCACAAGCTACACTCACCTGCAGGTGTCCTGTAAGAGGCAAGAGCAGCTTCAAACAAGAAAAACATATTCTGAATAAACAATTGTACCACATCACCTCCTCCCGTCAGACCCCAGATGCCAAATGCCAGGTCAAAGGCAACGCCCAGCTGAGTAATGAGCCCCTGCAATGCCCATGAATATCACAAACACAACCAGTGACCTCCCTTCCTTTTCAGAAGACACCATCTTCAGTGTATTTTCATTTTAACAAGTGCCAGGTCCCTTCTCCTTTATTAAGAAGCAAAAATAATTCTCCCACTGTGCATGAGTTATACTTACGTATTCATAAATTCTGCAAAGTTTTACAATACACTGTATCATTTGAACAGATCCAGAAGCATCACACTGTTTGTTATGCTGTTTGTTATGCATCACACATAGGAGCTGCATCATGAAATCCATTTATTCTCAGTTTTTTTAAATCCAGGGGCAAGCCTTTACAATAACTAAAAACATTAGCTGTCCTAGGCGGGAATACATTTGCGGATTAAATTAGCCAAAGGTCAGCTTGTAGCTGTCAGTTTCCCAAACCCCCAGGTGTCCACCGTGTTCTGTACTTTGACATCTGAAGAGCTAGGACACTTTCCACTCCAATGATTTTTTGCTTCAATTAGAGAGGCTGAAGAGTTCCACGCTCAGCTTTCTGTGGGATCTAAACAGGGTGTGAAGAATAATTGAATCAAACTTCCAATTTTATGCTCCGTACAGAACTTCCTTCACAGTATTTATTTTACCCTCCTGTCCATGAGCACTAAATCTATTCCTAATTACTGTTTTGGGTTAAAACAATACCCTCATCTTTTAACCTTTAAATATAGATAACGAAATTTCTTTTAAACCTGTAAGCATTATTTCTGTTGGTTAAGTGCCCCTCAGTGGGGCCCCAGCTCTCTGGACAGTGCCAGAGGTCAGCCCGTGAGGAGAAGCACTGGTGCCAGCACCTGCCCACGGCACAGAGGGCAGGGCTGGCAGTGAGAGCCTCAGGGTGCTGTGAGTGAGCTCAGGGCGCTGTGAGTGAGCTCAGGGTGCTGTGAGTGAGCTCAGGGTGCTGTGAATGAGCTCAGGGCACTGTGAGTGAGCTCAGGGTGCTGTGAGTGAGCTCAGGGTGCTGTGAGTGAGCTCAGGGTGCTGTGAGTGAGCTCAGGGTGCTGTGAGTGAGCTCAGAGTGCTGTGAGTGAGCTCAGAGTGCTGTGAGTGAGCTCAGGGTGCTGCTGTGAGTGAGCTCAGGGCGCTGTGAGCTCAGGGCGCTGTGAGTGAGCTCAGGGCACTGTGAGTGAGCTCAGGGTGCTGTGAATGAGCTCAGAGTGCTGTGAGTGAGCTCAGGGTGCTGTGAGTGAGCTCAGGGCACTGTGAGTGAGCTCAGGGTGCTGTGAGTGAGCTCAGGGTGCTGTGAGTGAGCTCAGGGTGCTGTGAGTGAGCTCAGGGTGCTGTGAGTGAGCTCAGGGTGCTGTGCTCTGCCTGCCTCAGCTCTGTGAGCAGCACAGTGACCTGAAGCTGCAGGCAGACACTGCTGCCCCCTCTCTGTCCCGTCCCAAGGGTGGAACATCCCCCTGCTCCAGGGTGGGACAGGGAACTGCTCCCTGGAAGCAGGACATCCTCTGCAGCATCTCAGCCTTGTAGACTGATCAAACTACGGAGCAGTGCAGGTGGTGGCCACTTCCACCGGCACTGAGCGGGTCTGAGATGCTTTGAAAGCCCATCTCCTAAGGGAAACCATGGCTTTCATGACTCCCCTCAACATCTCATACCAGAGCCAACACCTGGTCTTTGATCTGGGTGAAGGTCATGGCACACAATTAGTATTCTGAGGAGGAGAGCCCAAAAAGCCCTTATACAATTTCTCCTATCATGTCCAGTGCTCCAAGTCCTTCAGCTCAGATTGCAATAGAGACAGCACTTTAGCTCCACAGATCTGAAGAGCTAATTATGCAGCAAAAATGGGGTAATTATACTCTTATTCTCCACATATAATTTGTGT